AGCCGTCAAAGTTGGGGGTCTTCGCTCTTAGGTTGGAGGCTGTCGAAGGCAGGTTGGGGGCCAACGCTAGGAGGTTGTTAACAAAAGCACAAGAAACTGAAGACACACAAGACAGCAAAGGTTGGGGGTCCATTCTAGTGGGTGGAGGCCAAAGTTCAGGTTAAGGAACCCCTTACAAAGTTTGGAGGCCTACCTGCAAACCTATAGACTAGTCTAGAGGAAAACAGAAGGAAATGCACCGACACAAATGTGTCGAGTGCCATTTCCTCCTGTTTTCCTAAATAGCCTAAATAGTGGAACAGGTACGGAAGTTTGCGTCCAAACTTCCACCCAGTCGGTTTCCATAGCTTCATTGGCGTGACTAGGAAATCGACCGTCACGCACCCTGTTCCAAACCTAAAGGTTCCTTTGGTTCCAAGGGTTACACACACACGCCTCCCCGAAGGGAGGCATGTGTGGCCTCCATCCTGCCCGGAAAGGAGGCAAGGCACATGTGCACGCAAAAGGGACAGATGAACATGAAAAGAACGAGACAGACAAAGGTGTGTGTGGTTGCCGATGAAGAAGAACCTAGTGAAGAGGGACAACCGATGAACCAAACCTCATTGTAACAAACCTGGGCCACCTGAACCTCGTTGTAAGTAGAGTACGCGTGCGTGTATGTGTGCAAACTAAGGTCCGGACGAAAGTACGCGCAAGAGAAAGAAAGGATGAGGATGAAGAGACATGAAGACAGAAAGACATGAAAGAAAAGAATGAAAAACGTCTGTGGGGGCCGATGAAAGGGGAACCAAATGAACGGGGACAAACCGATGACAATCCAAACCTCATTAGAAACCTGTTGCAGAAGCCTAGTTTGCTTGTAAACACGCCGCGCGCGAGGAAAGAGGGGGAAGGGGGAGGAAGAAAAGAGAAGGAAAGAAGAAAAGAAAGAAACAAAGGTGCTCCCAGCTACGACACAAGCGTCCAAGGACACACCAAAAAGGAAGGCTCCCAGCTATGACGAAAGCATCCAGGGACACCCAAGGAAGAAGGTGAAGAGCGGAAAGAGAGAAGGAAAGAAAGAGAGAGGGAGAGAAAGGGAGAGGAGAGAAAGGAAGGTGTTCCCAGCTACGAACAATCGTCCAGGGACACACCAAAGAAAGAGAGGGGAAATCCTGAGTATTCCATTCAGGAAAACCCCAGAAAGCAAAGAAAGAAAGTTGGAGGGAAGGGGGAGGAGGGGGGACTAAGTGCTCGACAGGTTCCAATGAACCTTAAACTTGCTTTGACCGCTATGGTCACCTTGTGCCCTGCCAAAGTGGCTGGCTGCTTTGACCGCTGCGGTCACGTAAAGGCATAAGCCAACTTGGAATTCCAAAGATGAGACAAAGATCAAAATTCGTTCGGCATAAGCCATCTGCTGTCCGCTCCGGACACGTACATCTCCGGGCAGGGGAGATAACGACAGACACCCGTTCAACGGGTCCACGGGAGGCACTCTACGGGCTCATCCCGGACTCTCACTAGGAGAGACACACTTATTGATATGCGTACTGACTTCCACACGCCAACCTAGGTTTAAAAAGGGCCTGAATAAAAACGATGCACAAAAGTTGGAGGCCATCGCTCTTAGGTTAGAGGCCGTCGAAGGCAGGTTGAGAGGCCATCGCTGGTAGATTGGTGACAAGAAACAAGACAGCAAAACAGTCAAAACAGTCAAAGTTGGAGGTCCTCTCACTTAGGTTGGAGGCCATCGAAAGCAGGTTAAGGGGCCATCGCTAGTAAGTTGGTGACAAGAACCAAAACTGCAAGCCATCAAAGTTGGGGGTCTTCGCTCTTAGGTTGGAGGCCGTCGAAAGCAGGTTGGGGGCCAACGCTAGGAGGTTGTTAACAAGAAGCACAAGAAACTCAAGACACACAAGACAGCAAAGGTTGGGGGTCCATTCTAGTGGGTGGAGGCCAAAGTTTAGGTTAAAGAACCCCTTACAAAGTTTGGAGGCCTACCGGCAAACCTATAGACTAGTCTAGAGGAAAACAGAAGGAAAGGCACCGTCACACAAGTGTGTCGAGTACCATTTCCTCCTGTTTTCCTAAATAGTGGAACAGGCACGGAAGTTTGCGTCCAAACTTCCACCCAGTCGATTTCCATAGCTTCATTGGCGTGACTAGGAAATCGACCGTCACGCCCCCTGTTCCAAACCTAAAGGTTCCCTTTGGTTCCAAGGGTTACACACACACAACTTCCGATTTTGTATAAATCCGTGACTAAAACATGATCATTTTGAATACTTTTTGCGTCGGAAGCAGAGGTCCCCAGAGAAGCACTTCTACAAATATATTTTCAACAACAACAACAACAACAACAACAACAACAACAACCTCCACATTCTTTGCTTTTTGCAGCACTTTGGAACAAATGTCTTTCTGAGTCCTTGCTGTTTGCAACATGTTGAAACAAACAACCTTCATATTCCTGCTATTGGCAAGACTTTGGAAGGCATGACCTTCATGTTCTGTGGTATTTGCAGCACTTTGGAACGAAAACCTTCGTATTCTTTGCTATTTGCAGCACTTTGGAAGGGTGTCTTTCATATTTCGCGCTATTTACAGCACTTTTTTATCAACACGCATCAAAATCCATGATATATGCATGGACATCTCCAAAATAGAATGTTTTGGGTGCTCGGTCGGGCGGTCCTTTTGTTAAATAAGTCACTTTCGCTGTGCTTTACAGGCAAATACCAAAGATAGAAATGCCAAAAGCTCGGTCGGCTATAGACCCTGGTTTTGACTCTTTTGTCTTTCTATCTAGTCTGCAGTCGTTATATGTATGTATATATATATATGTGTGTGTGTGTGTATATATGTATATATACATATATATTTATTTATGTATTTTTGTTAAATCTTCTGTACTTTCCAACGCTCTTTTCCCAACCTGTGGCAACGACTTACCCAGCGATTGGCCACTTCAACCGGCGCTGGGGGTCGCCCCCGGTACCGCGCGCCTGGTCGCCTCGGAGGCATGACCTGGATCGCCCGGTGGGACCGGTCGACCGGTCCGGTCCCGGTGGGCGCCGGCCCGGTGCGCGCCGGTTGGTCCGATGCCGAGGACTTGGGGGGCCTCCATGGAGCTGAGAGCACCTTTTGGAGCTGAGATGTCGTGCACGTGCAGACACGAGGAGTCCATGCGCCTCACTCCTTGAAGCCAAGGTGCCGCGTCCCTTGAGGATCAAACCGCGGTTTGAACACGTGCCGTGCGGTGACACACGGCCAATGCTCAAGACCAGCAGGTCTCAAGCCATGGAACCCTCCGAGCCAATGCTGCAGATCCAAACAAGTCAAGTCGAAGAAAACCAACATGTAACGGCTGCTTTTGACCATGAATCGACACAAATGTCCCAGAAACTCAACAAGAAACGCAAATCGAACATAGTCCTCAAACAGTTTATAAACACGTACTATACATTACTATTTTTGTTAGGTCTTTGGCTTGCAAATCTTCTAGGTTTGAGTTCACTGGCCTTGTCTCGACCCGCTGCAATTCGGAATGAAAGCACGTGTGCTTTCACGTGGGACCACGTCGAGAAGGTCCTCAGGTCTGTTATGGTCTACTCATACCTCTTTCTCTTTTTTGCGTGTGCCTGCATGCAGACGAAAAAAGACTCCAGTGCCCTACGACATCTTGCCGCCGGCACGGAGACCGCGCGTGGCACGGAGACCGCGCAGCGTAAGCGGCGAAGGAAGCAGGTGGAACCAGATCCTACGCCTGGTCAGAGATGGTAAGATCAAAAGAAATGATGAACCATTGGTGAAGGTTCATGATGTAAGGTTCATGATCAAAAGAGATGGTAAGGATCAACCTGCCCGGCTCATCGCACACCTCCGTTGGCCCAGCTGCCCCCGGTGTTCGTGTTCAATTCCGACGTCACCGTGTCGGGGGACCTGTGCGTTCAGCTGCTTGAAACAACCCCCCAACTTCCATGTGTGGATTGTAAAATGCAGAGACTGATACGGCATACGATCAGCAGCATTTGGTCTTTCAACAAAGTGCTGGTGATGGTCCTTCCATCGAAATTTAAATGCTCAAGTGAAAAACTGCACGACGGCAGCCAGTGTTTCACTTCTAGATGTATCACAGACAGGACAAAAGTTGGTACCAAGCCTGTGGATACACAACCTGCAACTGTTTCTCTTTGGAATGCTGGGGGCCACAATGGAATTCCGGCGGATGCATTTACACCCCGAAATGAATGTATTGGTGGACATTCCTCCGTCGGAATTCCATTGGGAAAGAGAAGTGGTGTCAATGAGATTCTGGAGGGAAGGCGTTGCGAAATCTTCCTCCTGCTGAAGTATGTTCACTCCTGCGCCTGTGCTGACTCCATACGACGTTGAGCCGTTAAGCAGCGTTGAGCCATTAAGATTGTTGAGCCATAGCTCTGCCTACCCTTACCTGCTACCTTTCACCACAGGTTGCTCGGCCACAGGCCAATCTGCCACATGACAACCAGGGCAAGGCGTCAGTTCCCAGCATCTCGTGTCCAGGTTGGTGTCTTGGAGGGCCTCTAATTACGGCTCGGCGCCGGTCTCCGGAGAGCGAACCCTGAGACGAAGGCACCGGTGGTCGTAAAGAAGCGTGTGTACCATCCTGAGACTGGTCAAATTTCACCCACACTGGCATAGATTCTGATCAAGAATCAAGACTCTTGGCTCAAATCCACCATTTGTGCTGGTATACATTGCCCATAAACAGTCTTTCGGATTTGAGCCAGGGGATCTGAGGAGGCTATGTCTTTGTTGATTGGGTCCATTGTGTGAAGGCACTGCTTTCCGGCAGGTTCAAGGTCATGTGTGGCCTGTCTACGCCTTGCCCGCGTTGCCTCGCAAAGCCAGGTGAAACATCCCGACGCGTGGGTAAACAGAGGACGGTCGGAAGGCGTCTCCCGTCCAGCGTCCATCCTGAGAGTTGCGGAAACTGGTGCCAGGTCGCGACCCGTGCGCCCCCGATGTGATGGATCGCACCATGTGAGGAGAGACGCCTTCCGGGTCTTTTTTTCATTTTCAGGAGCCGGTCAGGGGTTGAGCGGCCGGCAAGGAAACCATGACCTGCCCAGGTGGAATGAAGCAAGAGCACCTGCACCGCAAGAATTGTTGTTGTTGTTGTTGGTAGCGACAAAAACAGCCGCCCAACATAGCTGTCACATGTTGCAAGTCAGGGATTTCAAAGGGACACTGTTAGGGATAGGGTCGAAGGTTTGGAGAGATGTTAGTAGCTGGACTTCTTGTCGTTGTGGTACTCAAGTCTTGGTTGGTCTGTTTCTTGTTTTTTGATGTTTTTTGGGATGTTGTTCTGGGGGCGAAAAACAACGACGGGGCTGCAGATTTTGTTTCTAGGGGGGGGTAGAGACAACAACATCTTCTGAGGGGGGGCCTTCAAAACTCAACAACGGGGCTGCAGCTTTTGTCTCTAGGATGTGGTATTTAGAGGTTCTAAGTAGAAGTTTTACAGAGGCTTAGCTGACCGGACTACCACCACCACCACCACACCACCACCGCCACCACCCCACCACCACCACCACCACTACTGCTACTGCTACTGCTACCACCACTACCACTACCACTACCACTTCCACTACTACTACTCCTCCTCCTACTACTACTACTACTACCACTACTACCTCTACTACTACTACTACTACTACTACTACTACCACTACCACTACTACTACTACTACCACTACTACGACTACGACCACTACAACAACGACTACTACATCCCCGTTGCTTGGGCGGGTGACCCTGGCACCCCAGATTTTATAAGAAATCCTCGGTAAAAGCAACACCTTGGGAGTTATAAAATGGGTGGTCCTAGGTCCAGCAAGATACGCTGATTCTTTATATAATCCTGTGGCTCAAGCATACTTTTGGCAGCGTGAAAGGCAAAGGATTCCGCGGGGGTTCCCCGGCAATGGCAGCACTTTATACTTATAAATTCCCGGCGCTGACGTCTCCCAAGTGCAAAAAATATCAAAAATATATCTAGGTGGGCGAGCCGACTTTTTGGTGGGCGAGCCGTTTGTTTGCGAGGCCCCCCCATAGTTTTGGTGATTGGGTTTTGGATCATTTTGGTGAGCCAATGTGCTTGGCCGACGGGACTGGGTAGCTGAAGGATAATCTAACACGTAACCCTCTCCCGAGCAAATTTTCATGGAATTGGGCTGGTGGCTTTTTCGCACACATATTTGTTATTGCCGCATTAATTCGTGCAACGAGGCGTGGCGGTGGGCGAACCAGCTAGTGTTTGCCAGGAGGGGTGTGGATATCAAAACTGACAGTAGAATCCCTTTCTTTGCAGATCTCAGTGTTCCAGTGTTCCACCTTGCAGGTGAGAACCACCTTGCAGGTGAGAACACCCGCTTTCGGCCTCCAGGCCGTGAGCTTTTGCTTCATCTTGGGAAGCAACAATTTGCGCAACGAGGTGTGATGATTTATGGTATCCTGGTTCTGCTGACAGCCGCTGAGTCCGCATCTAGTCTTTTTCCATCGACTATCGATGTCTTGATCTAGGCTGTTGTTTCCGCAAACAAGCCCTTTCCTAAAACCTTGGTGTTGACGGTCGCCAACATTATGCCAAAATGGCTTCACGTTGGACAGCTCTAAGATCAGCTATATATCTGGCTATGAAATCCTGTAAGTGAAAGGGCTGTGAGAAAGACTTAAATCTTTATGTTTTGCTGTGGTTTCACTCTTTATGAAATCCTGTTTTGAAAGCTGCTTTTCCATGCAACCTTTATGAAATCCTGTCGCTCTGGGTAAATATTGGAGCCAACCGGACAGATCAACATTTATATAAAACGACCTCCACCCTCAGGAAAAAATAGTGCCCTAACAGACGGGGATCTACTACTAGTACTAGTACCACTAGTACTAGCACTAGTACAAGCACTACCGCTACTGGTAAAAGTACATGTTGGCTGGTTGTTTTCGGGGGGGGGTCAAAATAACAACGACGGGGTTGCAGATTTTGTTTCCACCCCCTTGTAGAGACAAAGGGCCAAGATATCTTGTAACGGGTCTGCAGTTTTTGTTTGTACCTTGTTGTTGTTGTTGTTGCTGCTGTCGTCACTATAAGTGCACCACTAAGTGCACCAGCGACATGCAAACATGCAACCCCCTTATTCCAGAGCTTATGGTAGGTTGATTGACTCTATCAATTGTTTCCTCCGCTGTCCATTGAATGCCAACATCCATGACTTCAACGTTCGGCGTTCCGTTTGGCATTCCGTTGATTCCAAGTGTCCCAAGCCCGTCTGACATACCGAGTGCCGGGTCGTAGAACGACTCGAGAAGTCGAAGAACACCATGTCGACTCCATCTGTTCGATCCATCAGGAGGTTCCTCCTCATGTCATCCTCCGCACCCTTTGCGCACCCCCACGGCCGGCACCCGTGCCGGCTCCGGACCTCATGGCGGAGGCATTGGCGCTGGCTCCACCGCTGCCGACTGCGCCGTCGAGGCGTGCGCCCGTGGCGGGGTGCCCCGGTCGACCGCCGGGCGCGCGAAGGTGGTCGACCCTTTGACTGCACCTCCGTCAAGACTTCCAGCTGGAACCCCAAACAACCAGAAAGAAATGGATGTTTCCCCAGTCCCAACCATTTCCTATGTAAAGGAGTTCAATTGCCATATTGGAACGGCATGTCTTGCCCCACCCAGTGACTCGCGGTCGTGGCGAAGGTCCCGCCTGCGAATCAGCTTCAAGCCTCAGCTGCTGTCTGTTGGAGGGCTCAAAAGATGACACCTCGAGGCTGACCTCTTTTAAATTTTTGGAAGGGCCAACTGCTTGCAAATCCAATATATTTATTGTGTGTTTTTTGTTGCGCGGCATGTGTTGTTGCGATGTTCAGCAGCAAGCATGGACACGAATGAATCAAAACAATCCACGTATACCCACGTCACAGATTCAAGTCGGCCTGGCGGAAAAGGCATCCAGCCCCTAGCTGTCAAAAAGAGCAGCAACCCTCGTATTCGTTCCGTCTGGCCGGTCGAACACACCGGTTGTCCATCCGGTTCTGAACGCACCGGATCACCGTCAAATGCATATCTTCCAGTACATTCCAGTCTCATCCAGTTGGTTCCATCTGGATGTCCTGATGGGTGCACCAGATCCAAAAGCTGGAAACCAGAGTGCAAACCAGAGTGCAAACCCAAAACCGATCCCAAAACAAGCGACGTGTACGACGTATCAGGCATCAAACCCCAAACCGATCGCCCAACGTCTGCGCTCGGCTTCGGCCGCGCTCGACGGCGCCCCCGGCTCCGGCGGCAGCGGTGCAAAGGACACCGTGGGGCCTCCGCAGGCCTCCTCGCCCGCCGCCTGGGGCCCAGGGGATAGGGAGGCGAAGGTGGACAGGGGGATAGGGAAGTGCCCTCAAGTAGGAAAATGTCTCCAAACACCTGGGGATAGGTGTTCTGGAAACATCTATTCCCCACACAGGGGTCCAAGTGCCTTCTGAGGTGGGATGAGGGGACTGGGGAGGGTGAGTGAGGGCTTCAAAGACCTCAAGCACTAGGAGCCCTAGGGAATAAATGTGTCTGAAACAAAAGAATGTTCTGAATCCAGTCCAGTCGGGTTGCATGCAAATCTGAAGTTGTTGGGGGAAATGAACATTTGAACTTGCAATCCGACGTTCAAACCCAGCCGTGGGCTTCGAGTTTGGATGATCTGAGGGCCTTCTCCCCCTGCCGTTCCTGGAACGTCTCACACCGGAGCCTGCGTTGATGTTGGAAAGACTAGCGCCCCCTCAGGAATGCTTAAGTCAAGTCATCTATCTATCTATTTGGTCATTGGCATTTATCTTTCATAAAGCAAGAAGGGTATGCAGGATCCATTCACAAACCCGTGTCAGGAACTTGCGAAGAACTGTCATCAGCTGGAGCTCGAAGAGGCTACTCCAACCATCAATCAAAACAAGCAAAGCCATCCAATCCAGCTAGCTCATGCTAACTCCCACCCTTTTCGAGCGGGCTTCCGATGGATCGTTGCCCATCCTAGTGAGAGATGCTAACTCTCACATGGAGAAGGAAAAACACAACACATAGAATCATATACCAGGACCCTCCGACCTTCGGGGTGCCCTCGACCTGGAAGCCGAACGGCCGGATCCGTGTGGGGTAGTCCGGACACCCCGAAGGTCGGAGGGTCCAGGTATGTGCATGTTCCATGCCTCGGCCGACTGTCTCAGGCGGCCATCCCTGAGAGGGCGCCATGCGCCGGGACCCCAAACCCACCGGTTTGGAGAGTCGGACCGGGGCGCCGGGGGAAAGGGGGGGGGGGGAGGAGGTTTGGAAGGTCGAAATGGAAGTGCTCGAATTGGAGCAAGTTGCAGCTCAAGTTGGAGGTTTTGAACTCAGGATAGGTAAACCTGGATGCTCACCCCATCTTAAAACCCTTCCCAAGAACTGATGCTACAGGCGGCTACAGGACAAGTACCTCAGAAACATAGAGCCCCTCTATCACGCCATCGTGCTCAGGTGCCACCATTTCCTCTGCAGAAGGGGCTCATTTTTCATTCCTTCAGTCAAAGGGCATGCCTAATTACTGCGTATGAGGTAGATCGTTTACAACCAGTTTGTGTTTTATAGTTAGTGGGAAAAGTTCTAACATGTTATATAAAAAGAAAACATACGGGTTACCGTATTTTGAAGGGGCCTTTGAACAAATCCCAATTTGCAGCCCGGGCCCTAGTCTAGTGTCCCCCCGACCATTTGAAGTAGGAACGAGTAGGGCAGGTCGGCTGCTCCTCCCCAAGGCTCCCTGCCGATAGGGGCTGTTGCCGCCTTCGCCCTGCAGTCAACACGTCACACCGCCTTCGGCCCCATTAGTGGTCTCAACGCTCTTCACGTCTGCCCCTCCAAGTTGACAAGGTGTTGCCCACAAAGGAATGGCACAAACACTTGCCAACGGTCCTGTACTGAGCGTGCCCACTAGCAAGTGCCACAGTCGAGTTCCACTCCGGTTTGAAAGGTGAAATACGTGTGGTTTCAGTCAACCCCCGCCATCGTCACTTCATTCCGAAGGTGATGACCCCAACCCCAACCATCCATCCGTGGAATATGTCCTCCATTGACCCTTAAAACATCTCCAAACCACACCAATGTCCCATGGATGAGGCACGTCCGAAGCTTGGCAGGCCGTTTGCAGTGCCCCCAGCAGTGTTTGCATGCAACGGCACGCCGGGGAAAGAACCGTTGTCCACGGCCCTTGATCGAAAGCAGGCGTCGGCTTCGGGTGAGCGGATGTTCGTTGGGTTTTTTGTCCTCACCGGAAGGACACGAATGAAGCTGCGCACCGATTCTTCACAAGGCTCCTTCTCCCACGTGAAAGTGGTCCGGTCGCCGGTTCCACAACCCTGGCGGAGCTTCACACATCATCTCCTCTCCCACCTGGGTGCTCACTTTATTTCATTTTGATAGGGAGACACCCTGGCCCAATGGGCACACAAACCGTTCTTTCTTCTAGTGGGTCAAACTCTGAAATCTCCCATTTTTGTATATAATACACATCCAGTGGGTTGATCCATCATCTCACGTCAAGCTTGAACAATGTCAACACCAAAAATATCTGAAACCATCATATTCATGATGGTTGATCAATTTTCTTTCATCCTGGAACGGCCATTCTTCGAGGAAAACCGTTTTTTGGCGGATCTTTCGCGGTCTCATCGCGAAGCATGGTCCTACAACCATGTCTAGCTAACATGGGCCGGAACATGTCATAGTATCACAAAACAAGGACAGACATAAAAGGTTGAACATTTCCGTCACAGCTACTCCCTTGCAGCATCTGCATGACAAATGTGCCAAATAGAATCAGGCACAACTCAACCCAATCCTTGTGCCAGCTACCAACACAGCGTGACGCAGCTTGGGGAATGTTGGGGCCTCAAGCTGGGAACCTGGACTTTAGCGGCACACTTCGCGGATCTTTCGCGAAATTTCACTGGTGCTTCCCCGGGGAGCCATAACATTTTGCAACCATCTGCACAGCCCGTCAGAGCAGCTGCAGGTCGTTGCCTCACTCAGGGCTGGACACGGAAATATTGAGGCTTCAGTTCGTTAGTCTGTGACAATGGGGACATGCGGGGACACTTCCGCCCACCGGCTCTGCCGGAGGATTGCCTTGTATTTCTATTCTTTGTCAGTCGGTGAAAAGAAAAACAATGAAAAGCATATAGCGATGACCTTCGATAAATCCTTTGCGGAAAAAACATACTTTCGCGAACCTCATCGCGAATCTGTCGCGGATGGTTTAAAACAACATCTGAAAGGCTGTTTCTTTATAAAACTCCTACCACGGGGTTTTTAGATGGCTTTAGGATGTTTTAGGTCAACTCTCATATGATCTTCGCTCGATTTTCTCGAACACACTCGATCCGAGGGGGCGCCTCCCTGGTGAGGCTGCTCGAGTCCCACCTGCCGGCGGAGAGGCGTCGTTCCGCGGGCGTCGTGAACGGACCTCGGCGTGGTGGTTTCTTTCGTCTTCTTCGCGTGCGTGCCAAAGAAGGATGCACGAAACGGTCATAAACAAACCATGCATACATCATGCAACACCCTAAAACATCCTCTAGTAACATTTTCTTGAAGGTGTGGTGATAGCCCTCAAGCCTCAGTGCCCTGAAGAAAAAGACTTGTTGGGATGGTCGTCTAACGAGGGACCCTCACACCATCTCAAATTGCTTTGAAACCAGCTGAGAGGTACCGTAAAGGGTTCGGTCAACGAGCTCAGTGTCCAAAGCACACACACCAAATCGAAGCATGTCTGGCTGGTGCTCAAAACCATTGATTTGCAAAGGCTGTTTGCCTCGCGCAGGGGCAGGGGGGAAATTGAAATCCACCGACTCACATGCATGTCCCTCAAAACGAGCCAACTGTCCTCACATGATCTCACATGCCATTCCAGGACCTGTGCTATCCCTTGATTCTTCCGTATCCCATGGTTCAAACCTTCCGCCAACTGGAGCCTAAGAGGCTAACTAATTTGATAAATTGGTGTAGTACTATATAGCTCTACATCCTTTCAACTTAACACATCTCCATTCCCCACACCCACCTTGTCTCCCAGCATGTTCATACACTTTCTGGCCGTGCCTGGTAGGTGATGGCTGCCACTCTCGCACATCGTCCACCTTGCCCTCGCGAGCACTCTGACTAACGTGGAAGGTGGACCGCAGGCCCGGAAAAGACACCATTTATATAGCCGCTCACCCGGCTCACCCCCCCCAAAAAAAAATGGGTTCAACCCAAGTCCGTCACAATGTGTTCATGGGAGAGTTCTTCAATCATCTTCAAATCAGAAGTCTCAAAAAGAGGGGGGTCTCGAAGGGCGAGCCGACTTGCTTCAGCCCCCGCCTGTGACCCCGCCTTCCCTTCGGACCTGAAAGCGGGCGAGATCGCAGAACGGCGTGCGAGACACTCTCACGGCTTCTCAGGTCTTGATCGCGTATTGGGAACAAACACAAAGTGATAGCATGATAATGGCATGCAACTTGACGGTTCTAGAGCAAGTCCATTGTAACAGGGAAGGCCCAAACCTCACATCTGTCCAGCAATATCCCTCACCAATGTCCGAAAAAACAAGAAAGGTGGTGTTCCATGATGTGTCGGGGCTGTGTCTGGCCACCCCTTTTTTCAGGATGTCACCATCTGTACAGGGATGGTCTGAAAAACAAATGGTGACCGTCTTCCGACTTCCTCGCCTGAAGGGCACTCTTCTCGTCGGAGAGTGTAGCTCCGGTGCCTCGGCGCTCGAGGTGTGGGGAGTGAGAGAGATGCATTCACCTGAAACTGGGCATTTAGACCCCCCAAATGGGCTCCAAATAGATAGAATAGATCTGAATAGATAGACAAGTAGATCCCCACATATCCCCACTCAGAATGTGTCCAACACACCGGTGCCACGAAAAGAACGAGGCATTTTCCAAACATCCAACGGATCAGAACGAAGAAACTGGGCATATAGACTCTTTCCAAACAGCGAACGGGACATGAAAATAGCCGTTTCTATGATGGCAGGTGGGGAAACCCCTCGAAACAAAAAGACAATCAGGGTAGCCAATGGAAAAAAAGATAACTATAAAACACTAAAAATAACATCATAGGAAACATACAGAAAAAATGAAAATGATTGAAGATGGGTCCCGGATTTGGTGTTTCGGTCCAACCTCAACCATGGAAGTCTCCCCTCCAGTTGTCCAACCGTGTTGGTCTAGTCTCCTGCTTGGCCATTAGAGGCTGTTACATCTGGATCTCAGGGACCCAACTGGGACCCCAACGCCTCGGAAAGCCCAAGTTCGAACGCACCGTTTGGTTTGACATGCTACGCACCGTCGATACCCCAAGGGGTGGTGGCCGCTGTGGAGCCCCCATAAGCCATAAACTCATGGACACCCCGAACCCACCAACAGGCGTGGCCCTTTCCAATATAGGAAACCCGCACACGGCATACATACGGTGCTTCGATTCTGAAGGGAATGGTCCCATGGTCCCATCGCCCGTTGCGTTGCAGCCAAACGACCGCGGCCTCCTTCTTGGGCGAGTGCACCTCTTCCAGCGCCACTTGGTTGGCCTCAAACCTGGGGGAAGCGACAGAGCGAGTGATCGCGTCATGGGAGGCTGTGGGTCAATCTGGGACACCCTGGTTGACCACCAAGAATGAGATCCTGGGAGGGGTGAGATGATGTGGAGGTAAGCTGAGCATCTTCCGATGGATCTTCACTGATGGTCACCACCACCAGCTTCTGGTGTGTGTGTGTGTCTCTTGGAACATGATTAATGATAATACACACTCAAGCATCAATGATCATCTTCCTCCCTGCCAAGTCTCCGGTCACTTTCTCTATAGTCCGAAGGAGGAAAAAACGGCTTCGACCCACCGACGCACCGACGCACCGCGCAGCGACGCAGCGACGCCTGGGGACGGGTTGCCAGCTCCGGACATCCCTCACTCGTACGGCGGACGGGGAGGTGGCCACCAGCTGGACCGGTGAGTGCCCGCTCGGGGAGCTCGGGTCCGCCTGGCCGCGAGGCCCGTGCCGCGAGGTCCGTGCCGAGTGCCGGGGTGCCCCGAAGGATCATCATCCACGCGCGGGAGGGGATGAGAAAACCACCGTGGGACTGGAATATAGTTTCTACATGTTCTTCATGTTTCTACCACAGTAAATGCAAACAAGCGGCTCAAAAGGAAGCCGAGACATGCCAAAATAGATGGGTTTTGATCTTGGCCGGTAGGGCGTGACTTTGCCAGGCGCTAAGCCAGCCTGAGGAGCCTGGGCTTGTGACAAGTTCTCGAGGAAGGATTCCACATCCACGTCCTTGCCCGTCAGTCCGGCTCAAGAAAAATCCAACGGTGTTTGCTTGTTTGTTCGATCGATCGTTGTTTGATGTTGTTTTTGCTATTGTTTGCTTGTTGCTTGCTTGCTTGCTTGCTTGCTTGCTTGGATGGTTGGTTGGTTGGTTGGTTGGTTGGTTGGTTGGTTGGTTGGTTGATGGGTTGGTTGATGGGTTGGTTGATGGGTTGGTTGATGGGTTGGTTGATGGGTTG